TTTTTCTCCATAAATTCACCTTTCAAGAAATTAGTTTACTTTGAAATTCCTCGAAAGCGATTTTCAACGCGTGATTCGGAGACTTAACCCTTTCGTGATCCTTAGGACGCATATATTTTATTTTAGTACTCAAACAAAAATTGATCTCAGTTTAATATTTATTATAGACACAACGATCTACAAATAAATAGCAAATTTTTTAAAAAAGTAATTTGGTCGTGAAAGGGTTAAGCTCCACTTTTTCTACCTTTTTATCCGCAAAGAGAGAAAAAGGATTGAAGACTTTCCAGTTCCAGAGTTTTTTCTCGATAAATTCGCCTTTCAAAAAATAAGTTTATTTTGAAATTCTCGATAGAGACGTGAATTGATTTTTCCAGATGTTGCGATTTCATCAATTTTGTAGCTTAATTGATACACGGACCATTGTATCTCGTTGCAAAATAACAGCCTTTTTTTCCAGTCCATGGTCGAATGGAAAGTACGAAAATTATCGAAGGATGTGTAACGAAGTCGCGCAGTCGATACAGATCTGGTCCATTTTTTTTTCCAATTTTCAAATGGACATTTCCAATGAGTGCTGTGAAGTACCGTGTCCGTATTTAAATGTCAATTTCGTTATAGTGATGTCGCGTTATTTACACTGGGGTGACAGTGTGTGTGGAAAGAATTAATTGTAACACATTCGAACGGGAAATAAAAGTATCAAAATTGGGTGGTTTATCGGAGATCGATAATTAATTTATGTGCATGTTGTTTGCATGAATCTGTGATTTCCCGGTAGAGTTTTATTTAGTTCGTAGCTTAAAGCACATTAATTAAATATGATAAATAATGAACACTTTTGTGAAAGGTGATTCGTTGAATTTCGACTTTAATATAGAACAAACTTGCGACTTAAATATGTAATGTCGCGAAAACGGTGATTTATTTATAATTTCATTTTTGTTTTTCTTAGTGTAGAATTATTTTATTTAGCTCGCTCGAGAATTTTAACAGAGAAAGAAGGTAGATTTTTCTCGAAGAAGTACATTGTGCGTGTGTAGTGCACACATAGACCATGTTTAAGTTTCGCACGACCTAACAGATGGAAATAATAGCGCACAGTAGTGTAAACTTTCATTATTATAACTTTTGTACGTGTTCCATCTCTGACCATCGTTTATTTTATTACATTGTAACCGGCTATCCTCTGCACGCCGGTAGTTCAACCATAAATATAGGCGAAACTAATGGTAATGTGTGCCTAACGAAACCTTCGCCCTCGTGATAGATATACATATGAATATTTTGTCTCGTTAATTGTTCATATTTTCATTTTTCGTCGTTTATAAATTAGTCGATGTTTTCGTAAAATTCTTCGAGAAAATTGAGACGTGAAATATTAACATTTCCTATAACGATGATTGCGTTTAGATATGAAAATTTTGAGTTTGTAAATATTAGAAAATAAATGTGTAGAAATGGGTATAATTTAACAGTAAATAATTTTCGAAAAATGTAGAAACATATTTTATGCAAAGCTCTGCAAATTTACTAACAGCCTTCTATTTTTATATAGAATATTGGAAAAGAGGATCAAACCCTTGAAGATTATGAAATAATTATCAGTCTGAGAGAAAAATTGAAGAATATTTTTGTCGTGCAAGTAATGAAAAAAAAAATCTCAAATATATGAATTGAAATTAATTTGGTAATTAATTTGATGAATTAAAAAAACATACTATTCACTATTTTTTTTTTTTTTTTATCGTATACGCAACTTTATCAGTATTTCTGCACAATTTTTTAAGTCCTGATAATTAATTTTCCAACTATGATCTACGTCTATTACTGCAAAGACAGTATGCTCGCCTGCTGCACGGATTAATTTAGTTAATTATTGATATACGCGCAGTACGAACCAAGGGAAGAACTTCAGTTTAATCCTTTTAATGGCGGAACGACGGGAAATGACTAAAACTGCGATACTAAAAGAAAATCTACCATGTTCACCCTCTTGCAAAGGGAGAAAGTAATATTTTCCTTTGATACTGTATAATTGCTTCGATATAATCGCAGAAAATTAGCGGTCGTGCAGAATAGTCTCTCGAAATTTAATAAAAATTTTGAAGTTAGTGAAATCGAATGAAAATCAAGATAAAATTTTAAATATTGGTAACTCGTTGTTATTTACCATTGGTTAACTAATGAAAACGTTGAATAATCTGAAGGTAAGTTAATCTCAAACGAGGTCAGCAAAGATATAAAAAAATATTCATTTCGAATTTTCTAGGAAACTGTTCTGTGTAATAGTGTTAAAGGTTAATTAATGAATTTGCTCCTTATTTATAGTAAAACGCAATAAGATTATGTATAATATACTACAATATTGATAAAATAGGTAAATGCTGTTGTATCCTGTATTCTTGCTTGTCCATGACCTACATTAACAAGCATGGACAATATAGAGTATTGATTAGATATCTTCTGCAATATTAATTGACGAGCTCATTATGTTTGGTCGCACAGACGTGCTGATTAGTAAAATAGTATAAAACAGTAGACCAGCTTGACTCACGTTTAAAATTTCACCATTATCGTAACAATCTATACGCGCAAAACTGTATTTCATCTTATTTAGAAGTGTACAGATCATTGAAAGCAAGGAAGATCATTAAAGATTATGACTTTTCTTTTAAATTACTGTCTTCGTAACTTGAGAACATTTAAAATAGAAACTGAATTATTTAAATTCGGCCAATGAAATTTAAAATATGGAAAATTTAAATTCGGCCAATGAAATTCAAAATATGGAAAATTCTAAATTAGCCAGTGAAATTCAAACTATTCCAAATTCAACTTTAGACAATCCAATTGAAACTGTTCGAGACTTAAGTTCAGCCACTCAAATTCAAAATATTCGAAGGTCTTACAGGTAAATAACATTGCAATTGGATCTTAAAGAAATCGAAAATTAAGAAATACGAAGTAATCAAAATTTTAAGCTGCTTTGAAACACTGTGCAATCGCATTAAAAATTATTCCTTCAAAATGATTTTAATTATCACGACTTGCGATTTATCGTTGAAAATTCCTGATCCAAAGAAGCGGTAATAAAAGATACACTTCACCCACCTGAAGATCGTATATCGTGAGAGTCATGTGCGTCTTGTAGGAGGGTTTCTCCGGTGTCGATGTAGCTCTATACTTGTTATTCTCGTGAATCATCACGCCGTCCTCCCTGGTCCAGTAATTCAAAGAAGTCGGATGAGCCTCCGTGTGGCATTCCAGCGTCACAGCGTAGCCTAAAGGCGCACCGACCAATTGGTGCGGTATCCACAGCATAGGGGGGACTGCAACGAGAAAAGTGATTGATTGGCTCATAAATGTTCCAATTACTAGCGATACAAGCAGGAGTTTCGCGATCGATAACCGTTCCACGTCTATAAATCTCGGCCTGAGTTTGCCGAACACGCGTCTATGCGCCTCTCGACTCGATCACGCTCTTACAAGTCCGGAACAAAGCGACATCGCGATCAACCAGACCTTCGTTGAACGATGAAACAAACGTTACAGAGATCTGTTGCTCTTGAAACGTTAGATTGCATTTTATGGTGAAACAATTTTCAGATAAAGAGTGTTTTCAGATTTTTCTGATTTCAGTTTTCAGAGTTCTCAGATTTCAGAGTTTTCAGTTTTCAGAGTTTTCAGTTTTCAGAGTTTTTAGTTTTCAGAGTTTTCAGTTTTCAGAGTTTTCAGTTTTCA